CAAAGGAGCAATCCCAGCATCCCCCATCAAAGCCGCAGTCCAGCTCCTGAGAGGAACCACCTCTTCTGTAAATGTCTTTCGCTTGTCCTGCTCCAGCCCCATGAGGTCTCTTTGCTGTGGGAGCCTGTGGGTAGAGGCCTGAGGTGCTGAAGGGAGGGCTGGGCCAGCCTGCTGGGCAGAGTGGGCAGGAGAGTGGCTATGGCTGGGAGCAGGGGCTGTCAGGGCAGTGCATGAGTGGGAGATAGAGGTGGGGCCAGAACTACGCTCCTGACCCTCGTGCTATCGGAGCTCCCAGCGCAGCAACGACCCAGACGGCAAAGAGCCTCGGGCTGGTGGGAGGGGCCTAATGCGAAAAATCTCACAAACCTGTTTCATCCCAGCCCCTTCTCCAGCCCTTCCCCTCCTTTCCTGTCGGTGCGCCCCGCCCCTTCCCTTCCCTCAACCTTTCTGTGTGGGTTGCAGCCCTGGGCCCGCCTCGCTGGGAATCAGACCTTCCTCTGATGCTGCCTTGGCCACCTGTGGCCTTGGGGCAGGTGGGACCTGCGCAAGTGGCTGAAATCCCAAGTGCGTTCACCAAAGCGTGCTGTGTGGGGCCGCTTTGGCATCAGGGGGCAAGACTTGTTTTAGAGCTGGTGACACTTTCAGATGTTTGCAGACCAGGTGGGGACTGACCGCGAGTGAAGTGGGCACGTGGGGGAACGGCCGTCACTTCCTCAAATACAAATGAACTCTTGCTCATTTCTCTGGAAACACACGCCCTCCTGGCCTGTCTTTGGTTTCCTCACCGCTGATGGGGGCACGGGTAGGAGACATATTTCTCTACTGTAAGAAACAGCAGGGCAAGGAGTGATCCTAGCAGGCACCCTGGGATTCGAGGGGGCGGAGGCGGGGACAGTGAGCCGGGAGCCCCGGTCCATCTCTGGGCTGGCTGCTCTCGGCTCAGTAGACTGCGGCCGGCCGAGTGGAGTGAGGATGAAGTATTGCCAGATTTCCTGACTTTCAAGAGACGCTGGAAATCTGGATTTTTATTGGAAATAGTCCCATTTTTAAAATGTTGCCTTCAAGTCTTTGGGCCAGACTGGCAAGTGTGGGGTCAGACGCGGCCAGTCTGCAGCTTTGTGAGCTTCACTAGAGACAGTGAGGGAGCTGCGGCTTTCCCGGCCCCTCCCAGCCCTGCTTCCATCCTCCCGTCCCCACCTTGCCCCTCCTCAGGATTTTCACCCCAGCGAGGTCCTGCCTGGCCCTGGGTCTGGCCTCTCCCTCGGCTTGTCCGACACCCTGACCTCGTGGCCTCACGAAGCAGTTGGCTTCTTAGTCTGTGG